GTGGCCCTCCTCTCAAGTGTCCCTGTTAATGCCACTCCATTTGATGATGATATAACCTCTCCCTCACCTGTGCATGACACAGCCCCTCTGCCTTTAGCAGTTAATAATGTGCCTTCGTTACCATCACTTAATGATGTGCCTTCATCACCTGTTCTTGATGTGCCCTCTACATTACCTAACAATACTGTGTCCCCTCCCTCACCTCTTAGTCAAGTGCCTTCACCTTCTCCTACCCATGATATAGTCTCTCCTTCCCCAAATGATGGTGTACCCTCACCTTCTCTCACCCATGACATGCCTTCACTTTCACCTACCCATGATGTGCCTTCACCCTCCCCTGAGCATGATGCCTCATCCTCTGGGCATGGCAGTGCAGCCTCCCCCATTTTCCACCATGATTTCATCTCCACAGACCTCTCAGAGCAGGACCAGCTAAAATCTCAATCTCAACGGGACAACCAAACGCTCTTTGCCTTTCCCACAAAGAATCTGAAAGGACAACCTCTGTCCCTTCCCCGGGCTGATGACCCTCATAATCGGTCCTTCTCACCTGTTGGAGACATGAATCCATCACCATCATCATCACATGAAAATGAATTTATCTTTAACTCCCCCATTTCTCTGCATGAAAGTGATTCCATCTTTAATGCTCCTTCTTTTTTGCATGAGAATGATTCTGATGTAAGCTCCCCACCACCTACACCTAAGGATATTGAACTGAAATCTCATTCTGAAGATGTGCATGTGGTATCTCTCCATAAAGATGATTCCTCTTATACACACTCTTTCCATGATGCTAATGTGCTCTCTGAAACACTTCCTCATGACTATGGGGTTGATGTTAATTTCTCGTCTTCCCACAATGATGACACTGATATGCAAAGGTCTCTCCACTCAGAGGTGATGTCAAATGATAATATTACAGCCCAGAACACCTCAGAACTTGCTGAAGCTTCAATTCTTGATGCTGCAGAGGAAGTACACTGTGTACAAGCCATAGAATTACAGGCTAATATGCAAGAATCCATTTCAAAATTTGATGCAGAGTCTGTTACTGAATCTTCAATCATGAGTCAAAGAGATGACAATGAAGCTCTTTCACTGTCCACAGAAAACTCAGATATGCCCTTGGAACCTTCAGATAACCATGAAGCAGAGACAGAGAATAAAGAAAACTCAGAAATTCTAGATTTTGAAGATACTATTCATAAGTCACGTTCGCATGAGGATTTGAAAGATGGTATAAAAGAAGCTTTAGATTCAGGGGATGAATTAGATATAATATCCCAGACTGAAAATTCATTAGAATCGATGATCATTAAGACTGACCTTGATGCTAATAGTAATACTGCTAGCATAAAAGAAGCTGTAGAATTTTCATCAGTCAAGTCAGAAATTGTTACAGATTATGAAATGCATTCTAATCCTGAGACTCAAATGGATGTTCTTCCATCAGTGAAACTTACAAAAGGAGAGAGTATTGAAGTTCTCTCTGAAAATTATGAAACTTCTCCAATTGAGGAAAACAAGTACCTTTCAGATGTTGGTGAACACACCTCTATTTCATTAAAAGACGGTATTACAGAATCTCCTATTAATGAGGCAGTGCACTCATTTGAGATGGAATCTCGGAGAGATGACTTAGATAAAGCTGTTTTTTTGCATGAAGATAAGGAAACAGTACCTGTTGCATTGACCCTTGTTGAAGAGTCTCCTAATAATGATTCCCAGAGTTTACTAGAGGCAGAGCACCATAATCTAGAAACACAAATTTCTGAAATTTCTCTGAAAACGAACAGTAAGTCTGAATTGGAACAAGACTATGAAAAAAATAGTGAAACAGCAACTTCTGGGAATGAAATGCACATTCCAATCAAGTCTGTTTTTGAGGAGGAGCTCGAAAGATCTGCTCAGAATTTTTCTGTTTTTGAGACCACACCAGACAGCTTTATGGGCTCTCCAATGCAGGTGATTCCAGAAAGTCCCTCAGAAACTTCATCTTTTGCAACAGATGATACCACTCCTTTTATTCAAACAGAGAGAAATGTCTCTGGACATAGCTCACTGACAGATGAATTTAAAATGAATACCATAATAGAAGAAAATGATAGCTTTTCTAACTTTGAGTCTAAATCTGCATATTATGAGGACGAAGCTCGAAAGGCTTCATCTCGCTCAAGATCTTCTTCTACATCCTCATCATCATCTTCCTCTTCATCTTCATCTTCATCTTCATCTTCATCTTCATCTTCATCCTCAACTCGAGTCACATATGACCACATTGTAAATGAGCAAGAAGCAGAGAATGCTGACAAGGGAAATGTAGCGGATTTTGACACAATTTATGCTCAAAGTAATCCTGGTGCTTACAGTGAGGCATTTCCCTTGCCAGGCTCCAATCTAAAAGTCACTTCTGAGTTTGAACAAATTTCAGAATCAGCTCATTTGCAGGATACGCCTCCTCGTTCAAGATTGTCCTCTTCCAACTCATCAAAGGAAGCTTATGACAGTTTTTTGAATAATCAGAAAACAAAAGTTGAAAAGGATATTGAATCTGATGTAGAATCAGTTGAAGTCCTGAGTAATTTTGATGGTGATGATGACCTCACATTCCCTCAGACAAGGATACCTGCAGGAGAGCTTGACTCTGATGCTAGCTCAGAAGACATGGTTCCACAGGAAACTGAAAGTGATGATGGCTTTGCAGTTTCTGATAACTCACCTAATAGTTCACAGTGGGTGAATGCTGATAAGGCAGATGGTAGGACAGGCTCTCCACACCTCATGACCAAGACACATGGTGATAGTGTATCCCCATCTACTAATAGCAGATACATATTTGAAAATCCATCCATCTCTTTGGCAGATTCAGCTGCTCATAATAAGCCTTTCTTTACAGAGACTCTGTCCAATTCCACTGTGTTTGAGATGGAGCCAAACTATGAGACTGACCATCACAGCAGAAGTGACAGAACTAGCACTAACAACATAGTAGAGCCCTCTCTGTCCCCTCTGCCCGATAATAATACATCTTTTGTTTCAGGTGATGATTTCTTTAATGGAGATTCCAAAAAGGATTCTTCAAACAGTTCAGATATTTCACTCCATCAGGAAACCTCTGCATTTGATAATTCACCACACTTTCATGAGGAGTCTTCACCATCTGAAATAAGACCATTTATGGCAGAGAGTATAAGTGTTAAGAGTTCCAGTGACCTTGTTGGTTCTTCCCCAATAAACATTGAGTACCAGACTAATGGAGGAAAATCCATTGCTAACAACCCTTTTAACAATAGCTTTAACAGTGATAATAACCCTTTCCTAGAAAATAATGAATCTGACACTAACATCTTTAACTTCCCTTCACAACCTTCTGACACCCTTTTTCCTGTCAATGGGACAGCTTCAGAAACCCTAAGAAGCTCTCAGCCCTTCAATGGCATGAACTCCCAGAACACTGATTTCTCCTTTCAGTAAGAGGTCTTATGAGGAAAATGCTCTAGCTCTTCCTTCCTAAATTTTTTTTGCACCAGCGGTGTAGTTTGCACTCTTTTAACCCATCTCCTGGAATTTTCTTTTGATTGGGTAATAATTAACTTTTTTATTCTTCAGAATCCAAATGATCCTCACAGTTTCTTGTTTGCACTCATAACGATCTGTTCCTGACTGCATGGGTGGTGGTTCTTACAGGTGCGGTTGATCCTATGACAATGTCCATGTTTGGCTCCCTCAATGGCATGAATGGCAAGAGCTCAGGTACACCATCTCCTACCAAGCCTGAGGTGCCCCTTCCCTCTGAACCTGCAAAGGATACCAGTTCAGCTGAATCAAAGCCTGTTGGTGTCCGCAGTGTCCCCGGCACTAACCTTAGGTGCCTCGACGATCCTTCCTTCATGTTTGACAAGCCATCTGTAGGTACAACTAACTCTCCCAAGACTGGTTCATACAAGGTACTTGATGCTCCAACTGAACCACAGCAGCCAAAGAGTGCTGGTTACCGTGTATTAGAAGCCCCAGGAGGTCCCTCTGAGGTTAAGGATGCTCCTGAGCAGTCTCCCACAAAGCCTGAGCCCCCTGTTAAGCCTTCACCTTACAGGGTACTTGAAGCTCCTCTTGATCCCCCATCCAAGCCCAAGGGTTCCCCTTACCGTGTACTGGAGGCCCCAGATGCTCCTTACTACCCCCAGCCACAGAGTGTAGGTGCAGCACAGGAGTCTAAGCCCCCTTCCCTTGTCTCCCCGTCTTCCGGAAGGACGGTAACTGATGCACTAGACAAGGCCCGTGCCCGTTTTGATTCCTTCTGGGGGGGCGCAAAAGATAAAGATCCTCCCAGCAAAGTCTAGGTGCCCAAATCCAATAGCCATGTTCCAATTTCAAGTGAGATATCTATGAAGACAGTTTGCTACATGAACAGTTACTAAATTTGTAGGTAACAATAACTAATTTTTTGGTGCATCTTCATGGATATTTCTTGTAAGCCGAAGGATGAGCTGTTAACAACCATTCCATGCAGATTTTGGTGATGTAGAAAATTTATGCCATTGTCAATAACCCCACATTCATGCTGGGTTCTTGGTCAACAGCACATCTTCGGTATATGAAATGTTGAGAAAACCCACAGGCCATCAATTCAGCCAGATGTTTAATCGCAATACTCATACTATTTTTGTTAGTTGTCATAGATGCTATTTAACTCTTTCTGGACTTCACTCAAGGCTACGCAGTATAGTATTTCCTGTGGGTTTTTCTTATACGAAGCACTTGCTAGTAGGCTAAGAATGTGAGATTGTTTATAATATGACCGATAAGGTCCATTTTAGTTTCTATATGTTTAGCTTTTATTGAAAATGTGAGAATGAAAGGCAAGCCAGAGTCATGGTGTTTGTAGGGAATGCCAAGTGTGACCAGAGATTCAGATAATTTATCTTGTTACAACCATTCAACTTGTCATCTGTTTATGGTGGCTCATTACATTATCTCAGAGAACTGGAACACTGCCAGAACTCCCCAAGTGTGAAGTTTTGGAGTGTAGGTTAGTGTCATATTTGTTGAAAGAAATGAAATATACTGATGATGTAACACACTTGTGTAGAACTTTTAAAAAGAAGCTGATTTACATTTTGGATGAACTTGTCTTAATCTTTGAGGAAATTATGGGTATTCTCTGAAAGTTTATCAAATTGATATCAGCTGTGAATACTGTATTCTGGACCTTCAGAGTAAAATGTGTGGCTGAATTGACAGATATTGTTTGAATGAACATATGTTATGTTAGGAAATATTAAAGTAAAAAAAATCTGTATTTACACTTTACATATCTAGAAACAGTGTAATAAAACATTGATTTTAGATGTGAACTCTATATAATAGGAATATTGGGTATAATGGGTGTATATATATATATGCAAATTTACATTGGCATGGTTTTAAACTGTGTTATCAGTTTATGTTATTTATTTAACAAAGGGATTTAAAGTTGTATGTGTGGATATGAAAGTTGTCTTCTTAGGATAAAACTCTGCCAAAATGATTAAGAGGCTAACTCTTTCCTAGGTCATGAAGTATAACCTAGGTCGTGAAGTCTATCCTAGGGCTTGAAGTCTCTCCTAGGTAGAACGTAAAGTCGTGTCCTAGGGTGCTATTTCTGCTCCGAGCACTGTCTGTGTCCTAGGGATATATAACTATAACTTTAGATGAAGTACTAGAAGGAACTTGGGTCAAACTTGGCATTTCATCCTGGCCTTAATACTAATGCCTATACAGGGGAACACTTGGCATCCGCAAGTCTAGAATCAAGCTTTTAGTACTCTTGAAAGATTATAAAGATAAACTTTGTAGGATTTTTGAAAGTGTGAATCCTAGAAGCCTGGAGTACAGTGGTCCTGATATGCGAGATTTTAGCAGGAATCTTTAGAGATGTGTAACATGAGGAAATCTTGAAAGGTGCATTATTGATATTCTAATTCACTAAATCTTGATTAAACACTGTATTATATTCTGTCATTGTGTAATTGAAGGTTAAAAAAACCTAATTAATGAAATTTCTTTATCTTCAAATTTATACCAAAGATGAAAGTTACAAATGATTCAATTTTTATGGCGTGAAGTGTACACTCCTGAGTTGTTCCTCTACTGAAAACTGCCAAGGGTTTGATTATATAGTTTTGAATGGTAAAGCTATTTATATTGTTATAATTAGTATAGTGTTGGCTAATTATTATACTGGGCAGATTGGTCTCGGTCTCTGGCAAATTTCACCATTATTGTTTATGTCCCATGGTGATACATAGTTTTCCTTTTGTCACTTCATTGTAACAGCTTATTTTTGTATTGTTTTGTAGTTCATTTGTCATATTCTTGACTGCAACACATTCCATCAAGCATTAAGGAGTTTTATATATTTTTTAGGTAATTTAATTTTCATTTCTCAGAGTATGTAAGAAATGATATAAAAATCCTTTGTAAGGGTCAGCAATTTTGATTTGGGGATTGAGTTCCTTGCACATATTTGTTTCTAAAGAACCTCTCATACGACCTTAACATGAATAGATTTAAGTGCCAACATAATTTTCAAAATTGCTGATCCCAGATCCTAGCTGTGATTTTGGTAGGTCCCGCATCCTGTGAGGTGAAGGGCTATCAGCTTAGCAGAAATCCCAACTCCTGACTCCAAAATTCATACTTAGGGCACAGACCCTCAGACATCTTTACGCTCCCTTCCCCCTCGCAACCCACCCACCCACCCCCCCCCTCCCCCCCCAAACAACAATAAAAACTACCCTAACCGCACAAAAACCCCCAAAAAAAACAAAACTCTTTACTTCCCAATGTAAGATATTACGAAACCGACAAAAGTTCATTGCTCGAAACTCACAATATATTGAAACCACCAAACAAAATCAAGAGAGTTAGGCAAACAATAATTAACCTTATGCGCCCAAAGCCCCAAATATACATTCCAACTACACTCTCTGTCACCCAATTCTCCCTTTGAAAAGAAACAATAAGTAGAAAAAAAGCTATATATATGACTAACTTTCCGACAAATATGGGAGAAGTCCTAATGTTAAAATTGACTTGGATAGGGTTTCTATTCCATTGCTAATAAGGGACTTGAACCTTACTGAAGCTCATATAAGGGTCAAATCTGGCTGTCGACCGGAACAGATACCATAAATAAAGGCGTGTCACGATAATCTCCTATCCGTACACGACGCCCGTGTTTCACAAAAGAAAATAATTACTGAAGATTACAAAAATTCTCGCACATATAAGATAGCAAAAGAGATAGACCTAATCATGTCAGGATAACAATCCTGCCTACCCCCACTCGGTGTGTTCAGTAAAAAAGCCAACTGCAGCAAGATGTATAGAGTCTAGGACTTTTATTTTCCAAACAAAATTGACATAATCATTGAGGACAGTAAAATATTAAGCATTCATTAGAACAATATGAAACATAGCAAATATGTGCATGAACAATAGGACAGACTTCGTAAG